TGACTCACTGGAGATGATGATGGGCAAATTGGAAGGCAGTAGGAAAAGAGTGAGCCCTCTCTACAGGTGGACCTCTATCAAGGAAGCCACAGCCCTAAGCTTGCAAGACTTGAGCAGAGCAGTGGATGACCAGGGCTCTCATTCATAGGATCACCATAATTCAAAGTCAGCATGATGGCAAACAACAACAAGGGCATGAACCTAGATCTCCCAACTCACAAAGCCCATTCACACTGTATAATTATAGTGAAATGACTCCACTTTAACCGCCATGGTTCTATCCTATGGAATCCTGGTGTTTGTAGTCTGGTGAGGCACTAGAGTATTCTGGCTAAGAATGGCCCTCCTTGAACTGGAAATCCCAGGATTCCATAGGATGGAACCATGGTAGTTAAGGTGGAAACACACTACAACTGTGTAGTATGAATAAGTTCACAATCCAACACTTTAATTACAGTGGCCCTTTGTACCTCTGTGCACCTCTTCACAGATAACTGCCCCTTCCCTTTCCCCTTAACACCTCAGTAATATGGCAACAGTTTGAGCTGACAGAATCAGAAACAAGACTTTCTTCTGCCTGAATTGGAGCAACAGATACTCCTCCCGCTAGTCAAGGAACACAGTAGTCAAAATCAGAAGATCCCATAGGCAGCATTTTAAGCATGGTTTCTTAGAAAGGTGTAGAAAAGAGGAGAGCAAAACATGCACTTCTTACTTTTATGTATTCATTTGGATATTATCCATCTCATTTTTATTTATAATTCATAGCAGGTAACAAAATTCCTGGAACACATTAAAATAATAAGATAAAAAGAGCAGGTTGAAACAAGTTTTAGAGCAGAAACACTTTTAAAAAACCATGGCCAGGATTGTGCATTGGAAGACATATGTAAACTTCTGCACAGGCAGACCTATGACACATCTGCCTCTTGCCCACTCAAAACCACTCTTTAGTGGCTGCAGCAGATGCTGCCACCACCACCACCACCACCCCAACACAGCCATTTACTTTTCACTGGAGACTGAGGGGCAGAGAAGCAACAAGCTGTGTTTCTATAGCTAGATGCACAGCAACTGGCATCCTCTGAGACCTCCTAGGAGAAACTTAGAAGAGATTTTGAGTTCCTGCATGGCAGGAGGTTGGACTAGATGGCCCTTGTGGTCTCTTCCACCTCTATGATTCTATGGAAAAAATTTCAAAGACTATCCAGGTCCAGCCTCCTGCCATACAGGAATACACAATCAAAGCACTTCTGATAGATGGCTATCCAGCCTGTTTTAAAACCTCCAAAAAGAAGATGCCACCACTCTCTGAGGCAGTGTGTTCCACTGTCGAGTAGCTCTTACCATCAGGAAGTTCTTCCTAATTTAGGTGGAATCTCTTTTCTTGTAGCTTCAATCCATTGCTTCATGCCCTAGTTTCTGCAGCAGCAGGAAACAAGCTTCCTCCATCCTCAATATAACATCCCTTCAAATATTTAAACATGGCTATCATGTCACCCCTTAACCTTCTCTTCTCCAGGCTAAACATACCCAGCTCCTTCCTCATAGGGCATGGTTTCCAGACCTTTCACTAAAAGGTTTTAACAGCACGCCTGAAGCTTAAACTGAAGAGGCCAACCATATTCTTCCTTAGTGAGGAGCCCCAGAATTGGGGTGCAGCAATGGAACAGGACTAGCTTTTTTTTTTCAACCAACTAGGCTTTTGAAAATGGCAGGATGTATGGTAGCAGGGAGAACCAGCTTGGTGTAGTTGTTTGAATATTGAACTACAACTCTGGAGATTAGAGTTCAATTCCCAGCTCGGCCATGGAAACCCACCAGTTTGGTGACCTTGGGCAAGTCATATGCTCCCAGGGAAAGGTAATGGCAAATCTTGTCTGAATGAATCTTGTCAAGAAAGCCCCATGATAGAGTTGCCATAAATAGGAAATGACTTGACGGCGCACAACAAGAACATCATCAACGTAGTAGTGGGCAGGTAGTGTCACGTAACAGAAGGTGATTCTTTTTAGATCTGCTCTTCCTACCCAAACTATTTAGGATAATGGGGTGAGAGTCATGCAGCTCTCCAGACAGGGAGGGGAAGTAGGGAAGGGGAGAAATGAGACATTTCCTTCACAATTTTCTACCATTGGAGTTGAGCATTTAGAAATACAAAGAATTTCAAAGATACAGCCCTGTTAGTCTGTAGAATCAGTATGTAGAGAGATCTTGTAGCACCTTTGAGACTAAGGGCCTCTGCAGATGGGTGGCCGTGGGCCGCCCCGAGAAGCCGCGGATTGGGACCGAGGCTTCAGCCCCAATCCACTCCTTTTCTGGCCCTGGAAGGGGCACTAAAATAGCACTCCTTCCAAAAGACGCGGAAAGGGCACTGGAAAAGGCGGTGCGTGCCTCTTCGGCATCTCTTCCGGCTCAGCGTGTCTGGACACTGAACCGGAAGGACATAATCGGAGCACTCACCATGTGAAATGGCAGGCACTCCAATGACGTCCTCAGGAAAGGGTTGGGGCACCCGGCATAAGGCTGCCCCTCCCCTTCCTTGCCTCCAAGATGGTGCTTTGCGCCATCTGCAAAGGCCCTAACTGAAAGAAAAAAGTTGGCAGCATGAGCTTTCATAGACTAAATTCTACTTCCTCAGATGCAGATTTAGAAATACAGTTTAGGCATCCGAAGAAATGATATGATAGAATTCTGCAGCCCTGGAAAGGGATGTTTTTAAACTCTATGTTTCATGAATGGAGTCTTATAGTAGACTGAATTCAGCAGTTTGTGTAATGACACAGAGCTGGGTGGACTCTGCCTTTGAAGTCCATGGTTTCCTAATGAGCTAGCAATTAAACCAGCTTTATATAAAATTCTTCCAAAAACAGGCAGTGGCAGCACAGAAGGAAGTTAATCATATGGACCAAGCACTATTTCCAAATTATGTATGTCACACTTGTTCTTTGTATCCTATTTTGGTGTTTTGACTATTATATCAGCAGAGCATGTCAACATGTTTTGGAATATGGCTCCAGATGTTTGGTACATGTTTAACTTGAGATCAGTAAGAACATTTTCTCTGTCTAATCAAACTGTTTTCTTCAGCATCGCTTTACTTCATTTATGGTCACTTTCTGACTTTTCCCCTTCACCCCAACACCAATACTTTACAAACATAGTGGAACACTATACATTTCTTTTCATACATATATATTTTGTGTATTGCAGGATTCATCTTTGGTACATTTACAGTTGTATGTGAGAATTCATTCTCAGTTTTGGCACATCTACTGAAACCATACAGGCATTTGGTGCCTCATCAGAGAAAAGCAAATTCAGTCTTAGCTTTGGAAAATAATTTATCTAAATAATTTCAAATGGACAATTTCTCTGCAGGTTTAAAGAGAAATTAAAGCTCAATAGACTTTATTAACAGTTCAGATTATTATATAGGATGACTTACAGGATGCATTTATTTCCTAGCCATTGTTACTGTAGAAATAATGCAGGTTCACACCACTTTAGCTGCTGTGGCTCGACCACACAGACTTCTTGGACTTGTAGTTTTGTAGGCACTAGCACTAGAAGGCTAAAGAACTTTTAAAATGACAAATCCCACAATTCCATAGAATGGAGCCACAGCACTTAAAGTGGTATCAAACTGTATTATTTCTACAGTGTAGATAGTTTACACAGCTGTTTTGCATGTCAAGCATACTGTATTGATTTGCTTTTTTGGAAGCTTCATAACAGACTTAAATTGCTTTGATCAAGGTTATTTTTGTCATTATCTACAAAAACCTTATTCCACAAAATACATTTTTATAGGGGTTTCTATTGTCAGAACTCCCTACCAAGAAAATTTAGACACAGATTCTTTGCTGTTAGGGACTTATTCTGTGCTAAATTAGGGGGGTTGTAGACTGCCAGAAATAGTGTAAATTAAGTCCACTTTCAGGGTTAGGGTTAGGGTTAGGATTAGAGAATCATGGGAACTGTATTTTATTGTGGCACCAGAGCTCTCTGACAGAGAAGGCTATATGTCTCAGGGGGAAAAAACAATTCCCATTATTCCCTAGCACTAACCCTAACCCTAAAAGTGGACTCAATTTGCACTATTTCTGGCAGTCTGCAACCCCCCTTAGTCTAAAGTCAAGTACATGAGGTTTTACATTCAGAACGTCTGCTTTTTTCTTCATAAAATGGGGTTTGTATGTCTATATGTGCAAGAAATGTTCTCCTGAGCAGAAAATTGTGTTTTTTGCTTAGAAACCAAGTTTCCTGAACAGAGAATTACATTTTCTACACTAAAAAAAAATGTTGTTTGTGCAGAGTACATCTTGACCTTTGAATAATCCTTGAAAGCTGCCATTTTCAAAGTCTCTTTTTTGGTGATGGTGGTGGGGAATAGTTTCATTTATTTGTTCCTGCTTGTAAGAGTGAATGAAGATTTACATTTCAAAGCCAGAAGAAATGAACTAGGAGCCAGTGCAGATGGAAGAAAGCTGGAAAAAAAAGATCAGCAAAAAACAAGCTTCAGAAACCAATCTGGCTGTCATATCTACAATGCCTGAAATTTTCAAATGCTTTATGAAACACTTGTACATATAACAGGGCTGTTGAAAGAAAGCTAGTATATAGTTTGAGGAGATGGTGAGTATTCATCTTGTACACTGTACAAATGGCATCACAAACAACTAGGTATCTTTGTATGAATTTGTTTCATCTGGTGGCAGTCCACTACCTCAAATGTTTGCATGTAATATATCCTGCACTGAAACAACAACTTGCTTAATTCTCACCAGGGAATGCCAGTCCAAACAAAAATGGATTTTTATCCCTTATTAAGTGTTTACAAATGTTATCACGATTGGATTTACAAATGCTCTTAAGAGGAGCAGTCACAGAGCCAGCAATCCACTCTAAAAATCTCCAAAGGGGGGGGGGAAAGGTGGGAGAAGGAAAAGAAAGGATTGCACCGTTTGTAGAAAGGAATACAATAAGGATTTCTATGCAATGGTATGGTGTAGTGGTTTGAGTGTTGGACTATAACTCCAGAGAACAGGGTTCGATTCGCAGCTCAGCTACGAAATCCCCTGGGTGACCTTGGGCAGGTCGCATGCTCTCAGCCTCAGGGGGAAAGCAATGGCAAACCTCCTCTGAACAAATCATGCCAAGAAAACTTTATATAAATAATTTTGCATTAGGGTTGCCATAAGTCAGAACTGGCTTAAAGGCACACAACACAAACATGCATAAGCAAAGGGAAGACTGCTTGTGAAGGTTACTGCATCTTTGGCAATGAAGGCTTTATTAGGGTCCAATTAACATGGAAACCCTATCACCAAGATTTTGCACCATGTGTGTGGAGCATAATGTTCCACACATGCATCTCCACACCTCTTGACGCATTCATTTTCACTATTTGCTGGCAGAGGGAGACAATTCAGATAACCAAAAAGCTGCCCATTTGGGCTATGAAAGCTAGAAAAATGAGGTCCCTCTCCATCTGGGAGAGTGACTGCTTCTCTTCCCCTTTGTTAGAGTTGCAGGCAAGACAGACAGTCTGAGTCACATCTTGCTTCCCTTCCCTCAGCCAGTGAATGGCCACAATACCCCCTATCATGGCTTGATAGCTACTGGTGGTGGTGGTGAATAATTCCTTGTGCACCACCCACAAGCAGAAATTTGTACATGAAATCCCAAGTAACCCCATGTGTTTGTCACCAACAGAATGGCAGCTTGTATGTGTCTGCTAAGAAGCAAGGTCAACAGTGATCAATGGGATTAGTATCATAGAATCATAGAGTTGGAAGAGACCTCAAGGGCCATCCAGTTCAACCTCCTGTCAATGCAAGCATACACAATCAAAGCACCCCCAAAAGATAGTTATCCAGGCTCTGTTTAAGAACCTACAAAGGAGGCTCCACCACTCTCTGAGGAAGTGTGACTCACTGTCAAAGAGTTCTTACTGTAAGGAGGTTCCTCCTAATGTTGAGATGGAATCTCTTTTCCTGTAGTTTGCATCCATTCCTCTGTGTCCTAGTTTCTGGAGCAGCAGAAAACAAGCTTGTTCCATCCTCAATGTGACATACCTTCAAATATTTAAACATGGCTATAATGTCATCCCTTAACCTTTCCTTCTAAAGGCTAAACACACCCAGCTCCCTAAGTCAATCCTCATAGGGACCTTTCACCATTTTAGTCATCCTCCTCTGGACATGCTCCAGTTTTTCAACATCCTTTTTGAATTGTGCCCAGAACTGGACACAGTATTCCAGGTGGGGCCTTACCAAAGCGGATTTCTTCTGTTCTCCAGGAATTCTCAAAAATTATTGCTGGTGGCTCTGAGATTACTTCTGTCAGTTCTTTTAATACCCTTGGATTTAGTTCATCTGGCCCTAAAGACTTGAATTCATTTAGATTAACCAGGTATTCCTGTACTACCTCTTTACTTATTCTGTGCTGTATTTCCCCTACTCCATCATCTACTACATGTTCCTTTAGTTGAGCACCCTTTTCTTTTTATGGGAAGACTGAGGCGAAGTAGGTATTGAGTAGTTCTGCATTTTCTGTCTCCTGTTAGCATTCTCTGCACAATGGCCTATGGGCATACCCCCCAATGCCCTTTTTATTGTTCTTAACCTCTCTAGCAAGTCTGAGGTCATTCTGTGCCTTAGCTTTTCTGACTTTTCCCTTATACATGCTAGGTACTTCTTTGAATTCCTCTTTGGTGATTTCCCCCTTTTGCCATTTCTTATTCATGTCCCTTTTAAAACTTAGCTCAGTTGAACGTTCTTTAGTCATCTTTTAGTTAACTGCTGTCAAGTCAGCTTTGACCTATGACCATCAACAGCCCTGTTCAAGTCTTGCTAACTCAGGGCTCTGGCTTCCTTCATTGTGTCTGTAATGGGGTCTTCCTCTTTTCCTGCTGCTTTTTACCTTGCCAAGCATCCTTGTCTTTTTTTAGTGAATTGTCTTTTCTAATGAGAGCATGATAGTCTCAGTGTAGTCATCTTGTCTTTTAGGGAGAGTTGATTTGCTCTAGGACCTATTTATTTGTCTTTTTAAATTCATTGGGACTGATTTCTAGGTAAGAATGCCTAGGATTGCAACCTAAGGTTTCTTACAGTATATAATGGTGTGGGTTTTTTTTTTTTTTGTTGTTGTTGTCATCAAAGCATCTCCTTGCTAGAACTCTTGCACATCAAAGAAAGCTGGGAATGTTCTTAAATTTTATTTAGCCTCTGAGGGTTCAACCATGTTACATGCAAAAATATTTAAGAAACCCTAGCCATCTGTTTCCTTCCTATAAAGCAACCTTTGAAAGAGCTGATTTAGAATGGGAAATAATGTGTGTGGAAAAAGGAGGGGGTATTCCCGTAGTAGCTACCATATGATTGGCATCGTTAGCAGATCATTTGCATAGTAGGCCAATGATGGAATACCACAAGCCTGCCTTAGCTTTAACATAAGCTTGAGAACTTTGGGGTCACCAAAGCCAACATATGTTTCAACTCCCCCACCTCTGAAAAAAACTTTTGAGGGTCCTTTCTCTTAACACCATACATTCAGTTCTCACTCCTGGGTCTGTATCACCTATGAGGATAGCCTAGTTTTCCATTACAAGCTAATTGAGGGTGACCCTGAAGCTCTTGTCAAGCTGCCAATGCAGCTGTCATAAATGCATGCTTCAGGACCCCTGGAAACACCTATTTGTGCTGTAGTTTCTCCCTGTGCAGATACTTATTTCCTGCCTTTAATAATGATTTTACTCTGTATGATGTAAATAGGGGAGAGGCAAGGAGAGAGGAAGGGAAGCTGTGGTCTTAAATCAATACTATGGGGTGGAGGGGAGAGATCTGCTTTCATAAAACGTATGTTTCCACTTAGCATTGCACATGAACTTGAACAAACATCCTCCCTCCACCCCATCTACCCCCTTGTTCTTTACTTTGTAATGTTGTTGTTTGCGTGCCTATAAATCAGAAGCTGGGGTGGGGTGGGAAGGGAAGGGAAGAGTTAAAAATAAGCCATATGGCAATAGCAGGAGGTCTGACCACCCCACCTTAAGGCTCGTGACAACATGCCCTACATTTAACCTACAGTCAGGAACTAATTAACAACACAGATGGGAGTGAGCTAGCATATGTATTAAGAAGAAGGAGAAGGGGAACGAAATTAATACCCTTGAGGTTTTTAATCAGCAGCCTTGCCTCTTTCTGGGTTAGAAGAAGCCCAAGTATTGCCAGAGAAAACTCCACAAACTGTACAGATGATACCTATGGGGAAGATGTGCCTTGCAATGGTTAGGGGCAGCATTCATCCTACCGTGTGGCTGTAGGTAAGTCATGAAAGGCTGCTGAAAGTCTATTAAGAGGAAAAGAGATGTGGGGATGGTGTCAAATAAAATAGCCAGTACACTATGAGTTGAGAAGTCTGAGGAGAAAAGATATGGGATGACAGGAATGTTTTAATCAACAAGAAAGAGGAAATGTTTACATTATGTCACATACTATATGGATGCAGACAAACTTCTGCATTCTCTTGGTTGGTTGGTTGAAATACTCACATTCATATGTCAGTGGAAGGAGCTCCCCATATTGTTTCTGGCAAATCCTGGAATCTCCCCTCATGGGGAATTCTGGGAGATGTCCTAACAAAAAAAAAAATGAAATTCTAGTTTCTGGTAGGTGAACTTTAGACTATCCACTTTTCCTTCATAGGATTTTTAGCCAGAAAGTCCTGACAGTTTTTCTTGTTTACTCCTCATCTTTCTGGAGAGATGCCCCTCTGTCTTGATATATATTCTGAATCCAACACTATTGCTGTCTTGAAAACTACACAAGTAAAGTGTAAAGTTTTCCTTACGTTTAAGTCTTAGCTTTAAAGAAAATCTATGTAAATAAGCACTTTTCATGGTCCTTCCATTCCCTGTCAATGTGCCTAGAGCTTTTGTCAATTTAAAAACAAAATAAAACAGATACTAGTTTGAGAAAAGCAATTCTCATGCCTTCTTTCATGCAAAGACATGGCAAAGATCTTGCATCAGGCGACATAGAATAAAGTTCCACCCAGGCAGAACTAGAGATAGGAAGGGGGGGGGCAGAAAAATTTGAGGAAAAAGTCTAGTTCCCCGCCACCCATTTTTTCTCTGAATCCTTTTTTGTTTTGTTTTTCTGAAAAATTGGAAAATTATAAAAAGGAAGAAAACTGGTTATGTTTTATTTTAGCATGATGAGTAAAATCTTTAAGACAAGGTGTTCAAATATTCTCCAAATCATTTCTAAAAATTACATACAGTATCAGATTATTCTAATTTCTGTGTACTGAATGAGGATAAGCAAGGCCCAGGTTACAAACTGAATTTCCAATGCAAGAGCAAGATACGTTTCTTCCTTTAGGGGGAACTGAAAGAATCTGGTCTATGTTTGGAAACACTCACACTAAATCGAGAAATAAACTGACATGTGAAAAGGTAAAGAAGATTTTTTTAATCCAGATACACCTTTGGTTTTATAAGTCCATCATAACTGTAATGGTGACAAACATAATAAAGCAGAAGCAGAGACTGAAACTGATACTGATAACCAGGACTGTATCCACATTGCGTAAATAATGCAGTTTGACACCACTTTAACTGCCATGGCTCAATGCTATGGAATTCTGGGATTTGTATGGTAGTTTTATGAGACATTTAGCCTTTTGTGTCAGAATTCTGGTGCCACAACAAACTACAATTCCCAGGATTCCCTAGCATTAAGTCATGGCAATTAAAGTGATGTCAAACTGGAATATTTCTGCAATATGGATGCAGCCCAGAGCTCAGAAAATGAATCTGATTAAATTTCATACCTATTAATTGAATCTTATTGTCCCTCCTCCTTCCACACACACTAAGTTTAACTATAAGTATAATTTCCTGCCCCACAATTATAGTGCTGTATCCTACTTTAACTGCCATGAAGCTTCCTAAGGAATCCGGGTATTTGAAATTTAGGGAAGTGTGTATGTAGAATTCCCAGACAATGAGCTCTATTGCCTCACCAAACTACAAATTCCAGGATTCCATAAGAGGAAGCCATTA